TGCCATGCGTATGAATCTAATTTCAAGGGCGGAAATCGTTCGGGGAAAATGAGTGTTTTCCGGAGATACGGTTTTTCGATTGGAGGACCCGGATGGCGTTTATCTGTTTTATTACAGAGCTTTGGTCTCAGCCGCCGACTCACGGCAGCGGAAAATGGATCAAAATTCATAGTAGGCATTGCTCGGTCTCGTGGAATGCCAAAAAAGCAGAGAAAGTCCCTTGAACGTGTTTCAAGAGGAGGCGTGTCAAGATACTCTTGAGACGACGACAGGAAGCTTAAGCTTCGAAGAGATGATGTCTGAACATCTCAAAAGATGGCTTGAAGTGAAAATGAGTGAAATGAAAGGCGCGTGAAAAGCACTTCATATTCTAACGGCGCACTCTGGGATCAAAGAAGGGCAACCAGGTCAAGTATAGACGATTAAGGCAATTTCTACTAACGCATTTCAGATACTATCTTGACCTTGGTGCTCTAGGGTGAAGGTCATTACTTTGACTTTATTCAAATTGTAACGACACGTGGAACACCAGGCCGTACATTTAGCTGACGTAAGGTCATGTCCTGAGTTCTGAAAGTGCCCAGCACGAAAACGCACTCATGATGCACAGACCTCTCTCCTTATAGGAACTTTCAGCCATTTTAGTGTTTAATTCATCTCAAACTTTTCTTGAAAAGAGTGGCAGAGTGGGCTACAGACCAGTCTAACTGAAGCGCTTTGCGTCTCCAATGTAAGTTTGAGAGAGTAACAATGTTTTAATTTTACAATCAGATGGTCCATCTTGTTGTCCATCCCAAGCCACACACATGGTTTGTCGTTGTCAGATGAAATGTTTAATTTCATAACATGACCAAGTAAGTTTACAAGTTTGACCAATGACGTAAAAAAGTTTTGGTCACTTTTGGTCAAGCGCCTTTTCGTTTTAGCGTTCATTAGCATGTTATTGTAGGTCTGCAGTGCTTAAAATATTTACAGCCCTTTTTTTTGTAATTTGCAGTATTGTACAAATGTACTCTCTAGTTACTGTAATTTGCTTTGATCTTATTTACGGTTTCAATTCTAAATATCAATTCACAGTCTGAGGGAAAAAAAGAGAACTTAAGAGTGAACATAAAAGTACAGTAAAAAAGTCTGAAATTACAGTACTTTCCTCCGACTTCACTTGACAAGGTCAATCTGTAGTATTGTATTGTGCATAGCACTCAGGCAGAACATTTTATGTAAGGTAGTATTCGCACATATACATGTAAAGTTAACACTCCGTCTGTAGTTTCCAAATGTTATGTCAGAAAAAATATCCTCTGCAATAGGCAACATCCTAATGCAACGTTTACCAAAAATCTAAAGAAAACCATGAAAAATGGGGATTTCATGCAGGCGCAGTACATTCTGCCAACGTGCTAAACCTACAGTACCCCCCCC